AGAGAGAGAGAGAGAGAGAGAGAGAGAGAGAGAGAGAGAGAGAGAGAGAGAGAGAGAGAGAGATTTTCATCCAGAGGATGAGCAAAATGGGAATAAATCTGTCGGTCGAACATGGAAATATAYACTGCCACATTTTCAGTCTTTGGCAGAGTATATTTCCATGTAGCGGCAATGGATACTTCCATGTTGTAGGGGAAGATTCAATGCCATTTTGCTCATTTGGTGAAGCGTGGCAATGTCGATCTGTGTGTGTGTGTGCAAGGAAAATGAGCGATAGCGAACTTCAGAAATCAAACAGCATCATACACATGAGACCAGATAGTCGTGACCTCGAACCAATAGCAGAATTGCATCACGAATTCCACCACATAAGAACACAGCAAAAGCTCATAATTGACAATGATGGAATAGTCTCATCATCATCAACGAAGAACCAATGTCGATATCCTGTCTGGCGCTCGGCGCCCAGACTACAGATGGCAGATCCTATCTAGCCTAATCTACAATGCGGTCGATGACGTCAACAGCTCTCCGAAGTACGAGCAGATCTCGGCCAGTGCCGTACGCTTCCAGCACCAGGTATGTCTCTCGTATCACTCACAACCTCGTTCCCCAACTCACAGATGCCACATGCACCCAAGGACCACCATGCGCCCCATCCAGCATACAGCAGCGCAGCTCCGCTATGGCTGCCTGCTCCTTCCAGCTCGCCCGTGACCGCGTGAGCGCTGGCCAGCGTTAGCGCAGCATGCAGCCAGTGCCCGAATGCCGAATGTTTGTGCAGGCCCTTTCCTAAATGGAAGTGGCCTGCCTGCCTTGCGTGCAGCCTGGCTGCGCTGTGCCCCTGCCCAGAAGCTTCCGGCAGGCCCGGAGAGGCTGAGCCCCAGACCAAACAGATCAGGCCCAAGGCCTGTGACAGTTACCCATGTCCAACTGCCCGCAGCCTGAGTTGGGTCCATGCTGCATATCTCGCCCAGGGCCTGACTCAGATGCATTTGATAGAGGAGGCCAGGGCCTGGGCGCTTTCAACCAACTGGCGCTGCGCAACTGTCTGAAATTTCCACCAGTTGCGAAGTAGTCCAAAATAGGCCTCTTGTCGTCTGTCGAGCCTGCCTTCACTTAGGGCGGCTGACACTGTTGCAAATAGGGGCCCAGTAGGGCTTATCGAGGCCTTGTGCCTCTCATTCCCTCCTCCATACTTCGCTAGTCCTCTGAGAAGTTCATTCAATCTGGCGCTTTCCCTTCTGCAACAACCTCTCGTAATGGGCGACAACCTGTAGAGCGGTCTGCATTAGTTCCTCCCGAGTGAGCCATCTATCCTGCTTTGGATCAGTATGGTGCCTGAACCGAACGTGGTACTGCAGCTTCGGCTTCGGAGGACGTCCCCTGTCTGAAGTCTCGGAACCGGCATTTCCCTGTGGTCCACGATGTCATCGATGTCGACCTCTCCATCCATGGGTGGGGGCAGCATTGAGCGTCACGAGGGAAACTGACCAGTTTCCTTGGATGGTGTAAGCTTGGAGGTGTGAAAGACAGGGTAAGGTGACCAGGGATCTGAACTACATATGATGGACCATCCGGATCATCTCAGACTATATCCAGAACCTCCCAGGGCCCAAAATACTCTGGCATGAGCTTACGGGAGATCCCGTGCACCTATCCCAGTTCTGACGACTTAACCCAGACCCTGTCCCCTATCTGGAATGTTGATGGGTGACGGTGCTTCTTTTCTGATTCTATCATTGCCGCCTGTGCCTTGTGCATCTGTTTGACCGTTTGCTGCATCAGTTCATATCGATAAGCAAATTCTAGTGTGCCAGGTGCAGCAGTAGGCTGGTTCTCAGGCAGTAGAAAGTCTAGGGGCAGTCTAGGTTTGAAAGTCGGTAGCAAACTGTTAGGGCTCACCCCAGTGGCGCTGTGCACAGCGTTGTTGTACAGGCTGGCGATGAGAGCAAGTTTCTCATCCTAGTCCACCTGATTGGGCTTGATGTAGTGCCGCAACAGGTGTTGTACAGCGCGGTTTAACTGCTTTGCTTGCCCGTTTGCCTCTGGATGGTTTCCAGATGTCATCTGCAGCTGCGTTCCTTGTTCAGCAGCTGTGGCCTTCCACAGCTCGCTCGTGAATCTAACATCCCGGTCGCTCACAATAGACTTTGGCAAGCCAAAATCTCTGACCCAGTTCTCCTTAAACAGCCTAATGACGTCCTCGGTCTTCGCTGTCTCTGGCATCGCAACCAACCTAGCGTACTTACTAAACCTATCCACGATAACGAAGATGTGTCTCATTCCACTCTTGCTGGTGACCAGCGTGTCCATGCAGTCCATGGTCAGGCTCTCACCGGGCCTTTCCGGAATCGGGAGGGGCTTGAGAAGCCCAAGAGGGGCCTATGTACGTGCCTTGTCTCTCTGACAGACCTGACAAGTCTCCACGTACAGCTTGGCATCTCTCATCATCGTGGGCCACCAGAACTGCTGCAGCAGATTGGATGCAGTCTTCTTATATCCAAAATGTCATGTGGCATCATAACACTCTCCTAAAAATAAACTACGCAAAGACTCCCAATTAGGCACACACAAACGTTTATTCCCAGCCTTCTCAAGGAATAACAATTCGTTGACCAACTCAAACTCGGCAGAAGTCACTTTGTCCTTCGCCTCGAGTCTGCAAATGATGTCAGACATAAATGGATCCTCGCGATAGGCTTCCACCAAAGAGTGAGTTACATCGTCCGCAAGCCCGAACTCAGTAATCAGCACACCAGAGAAATCAGGCCTACATGATAAGTCATCCACAACGTTATTGTACTCCCCCTTCAGATATTGGGGTTCGAAGTCATACTGTTCAATGACTTCGATCCAGCGCTTCAAGGCATTAGAGAGTATTGGCTGGGTTCTCATCCACTTCAGGGTCTGATGATCTGTCCTGACGATGAAGAACCTCCCAAGGAGGTAATGTCTCCAATGGGTCAGTGCGTTATAAATCGTGTAGAGCTCTTTCTCATAAGTGGACTTAGCCAACTTTTGAGACGGCATCTTTTTGGACATGTACTCGACTGGCCTCAACTTCGGCCCCTCTTGCTGCGCAAGTACGGCGCCAATGCCATATTGGCCGACATCCGTGGTTACTATGAACGACTTGTTAGGATCAGGAAGTTTCAAGACCTCATGATGCGTCAACGCATGCTTCAGATGTCTGAAAGCAGCCTCGCACCTGTTTGTCCACTCCCGTGGGGTGTCAAGGCGAGTCAGGTCAGTCAAAGTGGCGGCCACTATGCTATAGTTCTTCACAAAATTGTGATAGTAGCCGGTCATTTTTAAGAAAGACCTCATCTCAGTCACAGACTGAGGATGCGGCCAGTCACGGATGCTGGCCACCTTCGCGTCATCGGGCTTCAAACCCTCCGCGGAAATCTCATGACCCAAGTACAAAGCACGGGTGCGCCCAAACTCGCACTTCTCACCGTTGATCTTGAACTTGTGCTGTTGAAGAAGACTGAGGACTTCGTCTAAGTGCGCAACATGCTCCTCGACAGTTTTACTAAAAATAAGTATGTCATCGAGGTACACGATGACAAACTTATCCAAGTAGTCATGAAAGATCCGATTCATAGCGTGCTGAAAGGTGCCAGGAGCATTGCACAGGCCGAAAGGCATCACCACAAACTCGTACAGACCATACCTGGTCTAAAATGCGGTTTTGTGTTGATCCTCGGGCCGGATTGCAATCTGATGGTACCCGGACTTCAGATCTATTTTATTGAAGTATATCGGCACCCTTGCAATCTATCTAGCAAGTCATCGATGCGCGGTAGGGGCTCTCGGTTCTTACCAGTGATGGCATCGAGGCCCCTATAGTCAATGCACATCCTCAAGGTCCCCCCTTTCTTCGGTACAAACAAGACGGGAGATCCGTAAGGGGAGACACTAGGCCGGATCCAACCCTTCTCTACGAGTTCCTTGAGCTGCCGGCGAAGCTCATCAAGCTCGCCTGGAGACATCCGATAGATCCTACCCTTGGGAATACTAGATCTTGGGATAATCTCTATCGCGTGGACGACCTACCTCTCAACAACCCGTTTCGGCTCTTCAAATAGATCACGGTATTTAGCGACTACTCCCTCTATCTCCGGCGGCATTTTCACCGGCTCGCCTGCTGCAGAGACATAGACTAGATACATACCTTCCTCCGGATTTTGCTTATAATAGTTATAGAACGCGGCCACACACATGCATCCGTATGACTCAATTAGACTACTAGCTTTGAACTTACGTAATTTGGCGGTCCCCCCACCTGGCAAAGTATGTTTGACCAGTTTTCGGTCCTAGTCAAACTGGGGTTGTGCAACGGAGAGGTAGTAC